CATTGTCCGAACTCGTCAGCTAACAGTTGAGAAAAAAAAAAAAAAAAAGTGAGAGATAAACAGGCTTAAGTAAGAGCTAGCCAATAACAAAAGATACTGGTGGTATTATATTCACGCTACATATGCACAGAAAGGCGAAGACCAAGGAAATACTCGACAGCTAGGGGTACTGGTCGTGGAATATTCTCGTAGGTTCCAAGCTCATGTCCTTAAATCACGTGGGCAATCCAGACTTGAACAAGCCTGGCTGAGCCTCATAGAAGGCCTGGAATACAGTACTTGACCTGAAGACCGTGACACCCAAACTGGAGAATATATGGGCTGATGATCTGCCGACCAGAAGCAGCCATAGGCAGGGGGTGCGTATCTGTCCCCCACTGTAACTTGCGAAGGTACAGGCAATATCTCTTCTCAATAAAAGGAAGTTAGACAAATCAATATTTAATAGCTCCAAGGGACATTCTCTAGATTCTTTCCAGTCCTCTTGTGAACATTGTACAGTCCAGTAGCATAGGACTGAGCTACGGGCGAGTGAGCACTGATTACTTTAAATACTACGACTACTAACTTGTACACTTCGTCGTGTCATGCCTTTTCATCAGTAGATGCAGATCGATTCCCGGATTCGGCAACGCAAACTCTTAAAGCCAGGGAACAATATCTTTCAGTTTCACCTAGGATCGAAGGAGGATAATATGTTTCTTAATAACGTAATTTTGATAATACGAAAGTATCCTGATGTGTACATCAAGTTAGATAGTGTATTTAGTAGGTATTTTGTCTCCTGAGATGAGTCGAATATGTATATTTTTCGGGTGTTCGGGTTTCTGAGCTCACAAATCTGTAATTCCTTGTGCATCGATATCAAAGTAAGAATTGAAACAGACATGAGGGATAAATCTAAAATCCGGAGAAGCAAATCACTTTTGAAGATCTCAAGCTTCAAATATGGACGAATCCAATTCAGCTTGGGTGTTTGGCGGCTAGTCACGTGTCACACAAAGGTTAGCGCACATCACAGTATACACTAATACAGATTCATACTAGTGTATGTTATTTGAGCTCATTGGTCCATGCCTCTGATATTTAAAGAACATTGAATCCTCGATCCTATTCCTCTTCTTCAACGCAGACCTCGTACAACGACAAATCGACAGCCAAGGAGGTGCGATTGCTTTTCGTGGATGATTTCACTGCATGGGTGATAGGGCCAACTGCGCAGAGCAACCGGGACGGTATAGAGGGAATTATCAAAGAAGCGCTCGACTGGGAAAGGAGAAGTGGAGCTACTTTTGAGGCAGAGAAAACAGCTATTATACACTTCACCCCTAAGGCTCACAAATCAGACCGGGAGCCATTTACCATCAAGGGACAAAACGTTGAACCCAAAGACCATGTCAAGATCTTGGGCGTCCTAATGGACACAAGACTCAAATACAAGGAGCATATGGCGAGGGCAGCATCCAAGGGCCTAGAGGCGGCGATGGAGCTTCGACGACTCAGACGTTTATCCCCCTCAACAGCGCGGCAGCTATTCACATCGACGGTGACCCCTGTAGTGGACTACGCCTCTAATGTCTGGATGCATGTTTTCAAAGATAATGCCACCGGGCCGATCAACCGAGTCCAAAGGATAGGAACGCAAGCAATTGTAGGGACATTTCTCACAGTTGCGACCAGCGTAGCAGAAGCGGAGGCTCACATTGCTACTGCAGAAAACCGGTTCTGGAGATGAGCCGTGAAGGTGTGGACGGACATCCGTACCCTACCAGAAACTAACCCTCTCCGCAGGAACACGGCTCGGGTCAGGAAATTCAGAAGATTCCACCGTTCGCCGCTGTACCAGGTAGCAGACGCGCTGAGGAATATCAAGATGGAAACACTGGAAACTATTAACCCGTTTACATTAGCACTATGGGAGGAACGAGTGCAGACCGATACTCATGAAGCCCCAGAGATAGAGACCGAAGCAGGCGAATGCATGCAGATCGCAGTAAGCAGTTCATCACGGAACAATATGGTAGGATTTGGAGGATCGATCCAGAAGCAGCCACCTCGGTATCGAAAATCAAAACTGAAGAGCTTCTCCGTCACACTGGGCACAGGAGTAGAGCAGAACCCATATTCGGGAGAGCTGGCAGCATTAGCACACGCATTGAGCACCCTAACGGGATTGAAACGGTACAGAGTCACGCTACTTACGAGCAACAAAGCGGCAGCACTCATGCTAAGGAACCCTCGACAACAATCCGGCCAGGAGTACGTCTGCCAAGCATACAAGTTGATAAACAGACTACGGAGAAACGGAAACCGAGTCAACATCCTTTGGGTCCCTACCAGCAAAGACAACAAACTGCTGGGCCTGGCTAAAGAGCAGGCCAGGGCCGCAACCCACGAGGACGCTATCCCACAAATACAAGTCTCCAGAATGAAGTGAACCACCTTAAATTTCGCACGATCCCAAGCAGCCATCACGAAAGACTTGCCAGAGGACGTAGGGAGACACGCCAAACGAGTGGATGCAGCACTCCCAGGAAAACATACCCGACAGTTGTATGATCGATTATCGTGGAAAGAAGCGAGCGTGCTGGCTCAACTCCGGACCGGCATGGCAAGATTAAATATGTATCTCTACCGGATCAACGTCGCACAGACAGATCAGTGTGCATGCGAACAAGTGGAAGAGACCGTGGAGCACTTCCTCTTCCGATGTCGGAAGTGGACGTCACACCGATGAAATACTGCAATGTACCAGCACCTACCGAGGCAACATATCCTTCTTCCTAGGAGGAAAATGGCCTTCAGATGGTCAGTAATGGACGCCAAATTTGGAGGCAGTACGAGCCTCAATACGATTCGCAATCGCCACGGGCCGACTCGACGCCGCCTAATCACGTCAACCAACGCGACCACACCATTCCCCTAACTAACCTACACCAACCACCTTGTGCCAAAGACTGTAGACGCGCTTCAACTGCCGAGGATAGGATGTTGAACACTTGAAGAACCACCTTCAAGCCAGTCTATTAACAAAATTACTAACCAACAAGGATTTTTACGATATTAACAGCTGAAAGGACATATACTAAGAGGATCTATGTATGGGCTCGAAGGAGATGCGGCATACGTACATTATGGCTTGTGTTGATAGATCAGTGATAGTTGCCCTTTCGGCTTAGCCGCCGGGCGTCAATGAATTTTGTGTGTGTGTGTGTGTGCACTCGCCGTCGCCAATCCGTCATGCGTTCTATGGGACCTTCATGCATCGCCACATTGCAACGGCAGTGGTTGCTTTGGGTTCACTTGAATGGCAAGGGGGCGTAGTAGTACTTGCTCACTAGAATCATTTTCTAGGCATTTGAGGTATGTAGAAGTTCTTTCAGCTATAGCGCGAAACTAACTATAAAGCGGACTGCAAGACTTGCTACACTCTTGCACCGCAAACGTTGACAGAAAGTTGACAACTGCTGTAGTCGAGGCTTTGCCTAGTGACGCCATGCGAATCAAACTGAAACTGGCCAGCACATGTGCCTTTACCTGCCTTCGGTCGGATTGTGGACATCTCATCCGTTCTCTGTCACCTGGGGCGAAATCGAAGAAACCACCGCCGATGAGGAAGGAAGATAAGAACCAAGATCGTTCCCAGACCGGGACAAGCCCCCGGTTACTGCCGTCGTGACTTTTGCAGAAACAGACCAAGTCTTCACGCGCGGTGTAAACATTGATGCAGGTGTTCTCTAGACCTGTGGCAGAATGGATCAAGACAGGACTGCGAAGGAATGTTAGCTTCCTGCGTGCCGTTCTCACAAACGGACGGCTTACACGAAAAGATGCTTCGTGGGCCAGCAATAATTTGCCTTCCACCGCCACCATAGCCATGTAGATCCAGTCGCCCCCACGACGCAGCACGCGGCAGCTAATCCTTACAATGGCATGTTTTTAACAGAGTGATAAACTGCAGAATTGACATCATTCTGGGACGCCATCGGCTGCAAGGCTGCTGAGTCCTGTAGCGATATGAATGTCTCGGAGAACACCAAGTACCCGGCCAGCAGGTTTCATGTAAAACCGTTGGCCAGTATGTTATGGAACCACGGAAAATTCTCCTGATCTAACACCATATCATTATAGCGGGACTGGATTGCCGAATTTGCTGGGGGTTGACCCTTCCACGTAGACGCTGTCCATGACCTCCAAGTGGTACGCACAGCGGAACATGCCCTCGTGAGAATATAGATATTATTACACCAACGGTGCTGATATCTGATCCCATGCATTGTCTCTGTCATTTACCGGAGAGAAAACGGCGGGTGCAGCTCAGTCAAGAATTATTGTCCTGTAAATTGTCTGATAGGAACGGCTGAGGAACAGATAATCCAGGTCGTGTGTAGTGTATTGCCATTATAAGATTCGGCATTTGCAGGCTCAGTTGTGACCATGTCGATTGAAATATTGAGACAATAGGTGCAAGTAAAGCGTAGTATATCATTTCGTGCTCAGTGAGCGGCTGATCATGGAGATTCTTCGCGATATAGGTTCGATTTGCGCTAACCTGGGGAGCTAATGGTCGTTGGAATGACTGCTAGAACAATGTGAAGTGGCATTAGCACCGTCATACGTGAGGTGTGTATGTACAGTCAAACGCACGCAATGAGTCACGCTGGTAGTGCTGGTATTTCAGAGATTTAAATATATTAATCTGTTTGAATGCCACTTTGTCCGGACGCAGCGAACCTACATATAAGGGCATCGCCCACTTGCATATACAGTACCTTGTTCCCTGCCTTGATACAGCACAACAATAGGCCTCGGTATATATTGCCAGATCCACTCTAGCAATGGTCAACATGCGGATCTCTCCAACGGATGAGATTGAACTCGAATTCCAGAAGATAAGTCAGATCAAAGAGTTGTCATTGGCTGGCGGGGGCAACCTTGACAACATAATAGAATCACTCAAAGTGGGTCTCCCATTAAACTGTCGAGGTCCTGTTTACAGGAGAACTCTATTGCATTGGGCGGCAATAGCAAATTGCACCAACCTCATTGGTTATCTCATTCAAAATGGTGCGCAGATTGATGTTGTTGATCAAAATAAGCGGACTCCTTTATCCTGCGCTGCCGAGCATGGTGCACTGCAAGCTGTAAAGCTCTTGTTCGACAACGGTGCCAATATTAATTCTGAAGACGATGAATGGGGAACGCCTCTGATGCATGCAATGGACGCTGGCTATCCAGGTGCGGAGCGCGATGCCATGTTAGCCTACCTCAGGAGCAAAAATGCTAGCTACCAGTTGAAGCACCCATGGTGGGAGAGGTGGATGTACTCCTTTCAGGGCAGTTTGGCTCTATGGTATTGCGAGTGGAAGTTATTTAGGAGAAACAGAAAGTTTTAAGTTTTCTACATCCAGATGAATAGTAAGTACAAGTTACACTTACTGTATGAGTACATGGCATTTTCCTAGGACTAATTGCTTCGCAGGTTCTTGTCAAAACTGTCTTAGGAGTGACATAAGCACGGTTATTGGACTAGGAACATGGAAAGATAGCTTATCCAACAGTATTTCAGCCATAGATACAATACATATTCAATCTATCTACCTACCATGTTTTAGGGCTAGAGAGCAAAGTTGGCGTATAGTAATAATTATTTTGTCTGCCTAGGTTTGGTTTAGCATTTTACGATGACCAAGGTCATAATGATAAGCTGAGAGGACACGAGTATTATCTGTATCTGACTCTACCGTCATCTTTGGTATGTAAGGTTAATCAGTGTATGCCCTGCAGTTTGTCGTGTACTAATAGTTCTGTAAATACTGAACCATTGGTCAGATTATCTATCTAACGGCCTTCATATTGGCCGTGGACGGATAGGTCATGCTCGTAGAATGACCCTGTTGCCCATAGATTGATGGCATATTCAGTATGTTGAGTGTCTTATTCCTAAGCGTGAAATTGATGTCATAAATGAGCAGTAACCACACCATCCATTGTTGCAGAGCATATGTTTGCCGTTTGAAACAATATGGAAAGGTGTTTGAAAAGGTTTTTGCATTTCGCTGAAATAGTGATTTAGTCGATAGTAGATGGTTTGAGGTTGATATAGGGCATAATTCTTCGGCTAACGGCTTATTGGATTATATGTCCTTCGTCCACAACAGGATGACCGCTTGATCAAGTTTTAGGTATCCTCCCATTATCTTCCAGGAGACCCATGTCCTCATACCTATCTTCCAAAGACCTCTCACACGAGTCCAGTCCTGTCTCTGAAACTATGTGCCTTCAAAAGATAATGCCTTCCACCTCATGCGCCCAATACCCGCCATGTCTTGAGAAGGTGCAGGTGCTGTTGGAGGACCATGACCCAGTCTAGGTCTGTTTCAATACGGCCAATTCGAGCTTCCTGCGCATACACCTGTGCAACGATATCCGCCCTTATAGCCGCGGCACTCTGTTGCTTTGTTGAAAGAGAGGCCAGAAGTTTGCACAAGCCACATTGATAGAAGAGCTCGAGGGCGTTGCAAAGATGCAGATGGGCTATTTCAACTACCGGCAAGCTCTCAATCTGTTCGTGCCACGCCCTTGATACAAGGCACGAAACAAAATGTAGGGAGCCTCGACACAGCACTCCCATATAATCATTTTGGTAGGCCTGCATAAGTATGTCATGCAAATCAACGAAGGCCTCTTTCAGCTCCGATTTCAGGGCCACCACTCGAGCCAAGCGGCCATAGATCACATTCACAATTTTGACTATCTCTGCGCATTGGTCGGAAATAATGATTGGGGGGGGATCCATTGCCGTTGAATGTTGAAGGCTAAGAATCGATAGGGTCGGTGTTGAACTAGTAGGCGCGAGCTGCGTGTTGAGGTGCTTTCCAAAATCTGGAACCACAGATATATATTGTCTAGGATCACCTGTTCGCTTGTAGGTGGAGACTGGGACTATAAACTACTAGATAGTTGAGAGGTCCCGCTACGTGATAAATGAAAGCCATCCTTGAAGCTTGCAACAATATTTGTCGTAACTTGTGTGTTGGTTGTACATAGTTTTTCATTGTGCGAACCAAGTCTGCCAAGACAAATGCATTTTGCCCAGGTTTGCCAAGATGGATGTGCCGTCGGCGGTTAGAACTTTATTTCCGGTATTGAATACCTCGCGAGGTACACTAAACTGGTTTGGGGATAGTGAATCTCGTGTGGTAGACTTAAAGTTGGTATGTATCACTCTCCATGTTTTCCCAGGACGTTGCTCCGCATTGGAGTTATCTCGTCTTTGTACAGTCAGTCAAAGCTACTTGGAGGAATGAAAGTCTATAATAGAATAAATGCAGTAATAGCTTCCAGCCAGAGCCACTCAACCGAAGACGGACCGCGATGACCAAGAGGATCCTATGTACCCAGTCCACATAGCATACCCGGTATGTCAGATATCCTAATTTTATGGTGCTGGATTACAAACACACACCGATAGTACATATGTATACACAAAAACTGGCTATTTATGCAGTATCTTGATTGCTAGACAGTGCCTACTTCCTCTGGGCGGTAAACTACTACTAATAAGTCGAGGACTGGTCAAGGGCCATCCGACGACCGATCTCTGCTCTTCCCATTTGCCAGCTCAGATCTTCTGCCTGTTCCCAGCGGATCCCCATCATGGAAGCGACCGGCGACCACATCTGCAGACGAAACCTAACCCAGTTAATACAAGACCAGAAGGTGTTCTCGCATGTGAAGTAGACTTACTGCTTGTACCAATGGGCCATTTCGTTGAACAGCCGTTCTTCCTCCTCCCGGGTGTGTCGTGGAAATGGTGAGGGCATCAGGCGCGCCACAGCGTTGCGTCGAGATGATCCCTGTAGCAGATTGAGAGTAACCCCACTGGGCTGAGGCACCTCTGTTAAAATCTGATCAGCACGAGATTGCAATTCCTCAGATCTCAGTACCAGTCCCTGATCTGGGAAAAGCAAGGAGCGCTGAGGACACGCCGGATGGAGAAAAGTCTGGCCGTTGATTGGGGTGAGCTCGAGATCCTTTTTCAATCTCTTGGCGGCCAATACTGCAGGTCCCTCATTGGTAGGAGACCTCGCACGCTTGTGTGGGTTGCTTTTTATCATTGATCGCGGAGACAAATCAATCATGTCCACCAGAATAGTGGAACCAACGACATGGTCATAAGCGGCAGTAGGGGTGGACGGGCGCGAGGGAGGCACCCTGTTCTCCATGATCGATATCAAGAGCTACCTGTAGCTACTAACTGTCAAGTGTAGAACGTAAGATAGTTCAGATGGTGGTTGATTAAAGCAGATATATACAGTGCAGTAGATCTATTCGGCTTTATAGAGATTATCAAGTGATTTGAACCATGGAACATAGAATCCATCAGTTCATGTATCTGCTTTCATTAACGTGATGCTAGATAGATCCAAGGGTGCATTATGCATGGCTTGCCCTCGCCACCATCACACCCCTCCAATGCACACTAGCCTAGAACTGCCTGGAAAGAAACAGCACAATTCTTTCTAGAACAGCCAGGGAATCAAGTACCCACTGAAATGGCTTTCCTCCAACTGGTTCTGGAGGATGATGATCACAGACTGGCAGGGATACGGCCGCACATATTACGGTGTTGGTACTTTTCCGTCCGGTGTATTTATCAGCGTCTTAGTGATCAAAGTGTCTTCACCTATTCAACACTCCCCCAATTCGCCTTGCCCTTCATTTCTCCGTATCCCAATCAACATGGCAGCAACTGGGCAATTGGAGACCCATCATAACCAGCATGAAGTTCATTTTGCAACCGGAAATACCAACGATCTATACAGAACTCTCCGCGTACCAAGTGATGGTGGCCCGCGACATCCCCCCGCAGCCCTAGACCCTATTGCTACAACTACAGCTACAGGGTTACAAAAGCGACGGGCGCGAATACTAAGCGGCACTGTCCTTCTAGTAGGAGCATTGGCGACTGCCGTATTGGCAATCATATTGTTGGCCAATCCATCGGTGAAACAAGGCGGGATAGCAAGCATCTCCGTAAGTGAAGCAGGACACTAAACTGGGATGCTGTTACACTGATGATCCCCATCAATGCCTTGGATAGATGCTGACAATTGTATATAGATGGATTGGGGTCACCTGGCCACTAACTTTGAGCAACGAGGGTTGCCTTTTCCACCCGATACGCCCGACATACCGGGGACGGTAGAAAGCGCTGCCCAGGACGGTGTGACTGCTATGAAGACACAGGGAATCGCAGTGGCCTCTGCGGTGACTAGTGCCGCCGAGTCCATTGCCACAGCCGCGCCACATCTCCCGTTGGGTCTCGCAGGGGTCGACTTGCCCAACCAATTGTCCATCGGCACTCGGATGATGTGCGTCCAGTACCGATCAGACCACCAAAAATGCCATCAGCTTCCCATAGACTTCAGTCAGATCTTCCCTGACCCCCAGCTACCACTCCTCGGGGACATCATCCGGTCTTTCGAACGCCTTGGAGAGATGGTCGTAACTAAAGTCATGGGGGCTGCTCAGCATGCCGTGGAGGCCGGGCTCGCGCTGGCCGTGGTGGACATGCTTACGGCGCTTTTTTTTATACGGCCCTCGTGGGCGCAATGCCGTTGGGCGAAGTGGACCATACTTGTTTTATTGAGTATAGCTTGCTTGGCGTGCTTCCTGGTCTCTACGGGCATTATCTTTGTTCTCCAGGCCAAGCTTGGGGATTTGCCCACGAACACTCCCTTTGTTGAATCTGTTCATTCTGGCGCGGCCGGGCGGTACAGCCTGGGAGCAACCTGTTGTGCGGTGGTCATGTTTGGGTGCAACCTCGCCCTTGCCGCACTCTGAATCATTGGCCAGGATGCGCATTTGTCTTGACAGCGCAGTCAGTTTCAAAGCTGTGAAAAAACTGACAGCCCAACGCCAACGCGATTCGTGTATGGGTCACGATGGTCGAAGAAGGTGAAGATCAATTCTGTTCAGTTAGCAAAAGTACATCCGGAATAGATTGTTGCCATGCTATTGGGTTGACGTAGCATTTTCGATACATTCAATTGTTCTACAGTACGGTATATTCAAGGTAAATATTCTGATGGCTATTGGTACGTAACGTAGCATTAGGTCCTCTGTCTGGTAGCACAGAAATCAACGTGTACAAGTTAAAGTCATTAGGCCTTATATTACAGGGCAAAGCTGAATGAATATACACAGTACTCTTCTTTATTTTACAAATTAATGGTTCAAAACAGGCGGAATGGCATGAAACCACTATATTCCACTCCGGAACATAATTATGGAATCCTTAGACATCTTGACTGATTCTTTCTTTTTTTGGAAACAGCCAGCTGAAGTCATCGTGATACCACCTATCCATATCGACATCTTGGATAGCTTTGACTGCAAGAAAGAAAAAAAATGAGAGCCAAACAGCCATGGACACTACACGGGTGTCCTGCACTCACGAGATTTGCCCCTTGCCTATGTCATTCTCGAAAAGAGTATCCAAAAATCCCGTGTCCGGGGGAAAATCCAATGTGTACGGTGCATTCATCTCATTCTGTAGGTCAGCTCTGGCTGTCTGGCCCTGTTGGTCTTCCAGATTCAAGATGTTGCCCGGGAAGAAAGTTTCCGTCTGACACGGGTCGGCGCCTGTCCCTGGCGGCGGTATCTGGATCGAAGGTCCTGGAGCTGCCGTTCCAGTAGGGTCATGTGTGGATGCTGTGAAGTCCTTCGGACCTAGTCGTTCCGCCATGGGAAAATAGTGTAGCTAGACCCTCCATTAACTGTCATGAAAATCACCAAGCAAATGCGACCTACTAATTGTTTTCGCGATGGTGGCCACTGAGTTGAATTCTGGTACTCGGTAACCTCTCCGCGACTGTCCTGAATGATCAGGTACGCTTTGGCTCCGAAAAGGCAGCCATAGTCATGGGTGGATTGGATCAGCCGGTCTCGCCGCCGCTTCTCTCGCTCCCGGGCGTTTTTGTTGATTCTTTGTTGTCCGGATGCCCGCACGCGCCGTGAAGTCATCACGAGATTGCAGACTGTCGCTGAGACATGTATGTGATTTGATCATTCCCGGTTTCAGGGAGTGATTGCTACATATATGCGTACCGCCGCTACTCGGGACAAAATAGTATCTAGGAAAGCGGCGCACTTTTCATGACGACCCGGGCTACTGTTTCAGATGTGATCTTGAGTATGGTTTCGCACAGCACACGGGGCACAGAAAGAGCGAGAGCTTCTCGTAGCAGAGCCTTTGGACCTGATGGCTTCGGTGCACGAAATTATGCCATGAATCAAGTGTGTTCTAGTTTCATTTCCATTTCCACCTTGAGCACGGTACGTAACTAAACAATATCATAATATAGGCAGGTTAGTATCTCAAGGGGTACAGCAAATTCACCACATACTTCCCTTGAGAGTGCTGTGATTCTCCCAGGATAGAGTGTGCCGTAAGAGAGTATAAACTCCTGTCTCGTCAATTGGCACTGGTTTTAGATAACCCAGCAAATCGGGGGAAGTGATTCGTTGGCATCACAACGAATTGGAGGGCCAGGTTAATTGACCCTTATTTGGAAGGCCGGGTCTATAATCCTATTTGCGAGTTGATGGAAACATATTCTTAGCCATAACGTAACCCCACAGTAATGATCATAAGGTAGGATCTGCTCCACTACTTATCCATGCAGTACTAGCGTATGGCTCTCGGCGTTCTTTAACTCCCCCCTTCCCTACGCGGTGCTAAACCCATCAGTCTCTAATTTGGCTTCTCTTCCAGACCACTCCCGCAAGAATAATCAATACCTATAAGATTAGATAAAGGTATCCATGTTGATCTGTATGGTCCAAAGTGAATGGTCTATAAATAAACTAAAATCCCCACTGTCGCGCCGTGAAAATTCGTGAGGGAAGGGGAGTATCGTAGCCAAGCCGGCCAGGCAATGTAGTGAGTCACTACATATCGATCTATATGGGAGCAGAATGGCGACGATGATGGCCAAAGGTGAGGGTGGCTATAAGGATATTAAAGCCACGACAGTCATAGGGGTCGTGCGTAGGTAGAAAATTAGATTAACATCAAAGATTCACTTTATGTTCAGATACAATATATAAATTGCATAATCAGGGTTGAAGATAGCAGACACCCCCCTAGTAGATGCAGCATCGCACATTTAGCGGTTACATGCGTCCAACAAGTGTGGTACCAACTTTCCCACTCCCCTTTGCTAGCTGCTTTTCGTGAACGCTAGCTACCTGATTCCACTTGGGTTCCACTTGGGTATCACTTGGTACCAGGAGCCGTGTCAGATTCCGGAGCACTCTCCTCGGGTGCTACCAACTGCAGAGTAAAGCCTATGGCCAGGCACGAGCATGCAACCAACTGAAAACCAAGGAAGTAAGCCGCACTTTGATTCTCCGACCGTTCTGCATACCATAGCAAACAGCCGATGAGGAATATGCCGATCGCCACGCACAGCATGCAGAATGGAATCATTGCTGATGCCAGTCTGCAGTGCCTCTGAGGGTCAGGATATGCTAGTTTCCAGGAGAGCAGTCCATCCCACACAATAGAAGCAAAGGCATAGACCACAGCACTGCCAAGCAATACTTCTATTGCGTCCGAGCGGTGGGTTAGAGAGGTCACGCAAAGTTGGTGCGCAGTCAGAACTGCAAGCGCGAGAACACCAACAGCTAGCCCAATGGAATTGATAGTATGGTGCAGGTGCTGGAGTCCCCGATACGCGATGCGCTCAGACGAATTCGGCGATGGTATTGCGCGAGGGGCTAAATATGACCAGAGTAAGCTTTTTGCGCAGCAGCAAGATGGCACTGGCCGCCGTTGGGTGTTTACATACCCGGTGGGCCACTCTGCGCGTGCAAGCCCATATCCGGCGTACCAGGTTGCTTAATACCAATATCGGTCTTTCTCATGCGTTTTGTATCGGGCATTTTGAATTTAAGGTGTTGCGTTCTAGCTGAGGTTATTAATCCAAATAGATGGACGGTCTGTATTGGAACGATTCAATCCAGCAGTTCCAGGGTTGGTTGCGAGCCGACATATGTTTTCAACAGGACCATCGCGGGGTTTTATATGTAGCAGGAAGCGAGGCCTTCTCTACCTCAGCTTTATCGCCACTAGGTGGGCGCCACTAGCGATACGCAAAGTCTTTCAGGCATACTCCACTGCCCAGCTCTGCGTACAAACAGACACCAAATATGATTCATATAAAAGCGTAGATCCACCAGAATCGAGTATCTGATCTGTGGCTCTTCCCCTTTCAGCCGAACTGTTTGTGAACTGGCTCATTTTCAATCTTGCCGAGATGTAATTTACCGTTCGTGTTTACTAAACCATACACATGCCATTGCATATAGTACACTACGTAATAATACAGAATCTTGGCTAAGTCAAAGGATTTATAGTAATCAACGACTACGATGCAAACCAAAATCCTGGAATGTTGTACTCTCCTCCCATCGACAGGCAGTTTCAGAAAATGTTACAGATTGTGTACAAGGGTAATGTAGGAACATAGTCAGCATTCTCATTTCACTAGGGTTGTGCTTTCCTCTATCGCAGAACCTGAATGGTCCGCACGCAGCCGATCGACAATGAGCACTCGACGAGGCGCTATGGTTGGTGCCAGGATATCCTTTTGAGGTTTTTGCCATTTGGGTCGAGTGCACGATAGCATCTACTTGGACTTAGTTTATACTCCTTGTATTGGCTACTGTAGCAGAGCCGAATCAGTCTTCCATACCACTTGCCTGTCAAACCTATCAAACAGACCACGGTCTCTTGATTTGAAGACATGTGTTTGATCGGTTGAACCGATAATAATCCAAAGGTCGACCCCAAGCCGGCTCAACTCTTCGCACTTTTTAAAGATAGTATTTCTCCGCCGAGCCGCATTCCGGTGGTAGCCAGCGGTCTTCGGCTCTGTGCCCATAGTGATGATAGAATAGAGGTGAGGGTAACCGGCGCAAAGATATGATTCTTGTCGCCCGATCTAGGAAGTAAAACACCAGTAATTTAATAGAATGACGGGGGAGATTAGTACATTATGACACGTCCATATATGCTTCAGCTGGGAGACCTCTATTATAATAGCATACATATCAAGCTGTGGACACTGGTGGGTCTACGGCACTGCCAGTACCATTGAACTGTGGCTAACAATGGAGCAACCAATCACCTCCGTCAATTTCAAAACCACGATCGACAAAGTAACGAGAGTGAGATGTCTAGTGACCGTTGTGTGTTGTGAATTGAGCCAGAGAACAAAACTCTGGTGGACCCTACCCCGCGAGGTACGCTAGCCCATATTGGGAACGACTAGCCAAGCCAAGTTTTGATTTGCCACTTTAGAAAGGCCCATCAGCATTGCGACGACGAAGCACACTGTGCGGTACTGACCGTCGCCTGATGTATGAAACAGTAGAACTATATGGATCGTATAGATGGCCACAGATTAGCGTCCATGGCCATCGTCGCTCTGCCTGGTTGCGTTGTTTGAAGATCGAGCTCTCATTGAGATGCTCGGTTTAGCGTACCACGCGGTGTTCACTATCCATATGCGGATTAGCGCCCGTCGCATGTCCGAAGACTGTTCGTTAGCGAGAGGTATTTCCGCAGCATTAGGAATGGACCCAGTCCAACCTAGCGAACCGCCTTTTGACCTTAATCTGCATGCCATAAATAAAAAATGACATGTCTCCAGGCCCGGAAGGCTCTTCAGATGTTACCACCGATGTTACGCAATTTAGAACACGTCTGTATATTCACTCGATCACGTCGATGATCCGAATAATTGAAGACTGCTTGGATGGCCGTTTGATGTGCTTTTGCGTCCACTAGATCCCGACAACGACTTCTCATTGTGACAGCACTCACGGTGCAACGAGACGTCGATGGTTACCCCGGTGAGTCTGGTTAGACTAAGTTATAGGACATTGTCAGAGAAGACGTGACTAATTAGGTTGATAGAATCACACAGCAAGGATGCCCGATAGACAGCAGAGAACAGCATCTCGAAGACACTATGCACGCACAATCCCCTATCGCCACCATGCACCGTCCTTGGCGGTCGTTATACCAAAAGCCAAGCGGAACACTCCAGGATCACACATAACCAGCCATGTTGGCAACAGTCCAGGTGTGGTTGATACTAGAGCCATTGCATGCACTTCTAACCAAGCAAAGTAGACAATCCAATTGTGATACCGGACGACTCGGTTTCAAAACGCGCAACGATAGCATCACCCCACTCAACTCTTCTGCACGTCAAAGATATCCCGCACAAAAGCAGTGGACTAACCTGCCCCATTTGCTGGGAGAACACTGTTGATGGCCTTGTTGCAGTTGGATGTGGCCATGTGTGTCATCAACAGTGCTTCAGTCAATATATCCGTCAGTATTTCGAGTCGCGACTGCTGGCTTCAGGAAAGATACAGATCCCCTGCCCAATGTGCCGAGCCGATTGTTTTGGGTGGCTGGAGCGATCTCGATCCCACCAACCGTTGCATTTTGTTATCCGCCCTTGGGATGCCGATACCTCAGTAACACGGGCGGTCCGTTCCCTCGCCGTTTATATGGAGGGGATACACCTGTATGCCCATCGCTGACTACTCTGCCTAGGCCAATGACATGGCTTTCATAGATTTTGGTTGGAACATTGATGCGTACACCAGCTCCCCAGCCCCATCGTTCTATAGCTTGTCGCTATGCCAATCCTGTCACGCATGTCCAGTCTCACACTTCTCTGCAATTCTAAACTGTTCTATATGCATTTGCTCGTAGTAGCTTACCGTGTAGCTGTAGGCTGAGCAAAGCACTGTCTTCCGTATTCTTCCGCTTTCTCCCATCTCTTTCACAGTAGTCCTGACTCTTCCTGGAGCAAATCTAAGCATGATGACCTTGGCGGCAGTTGTCTTAGCCCACGAGGTACATTAGTCCGGTTTAGGGATAGTGAATCACAATTCTGTTCTACGGAGAACTGCTCTCCGTCAACAATAAGCCCCGCAACCATCAATGATCAAGCCTTCTATTCACATAACCAACAAAGGTTAAAATTTAGAAATCAATGTATGCGGCGCTCTCTTTGCTTGAAGAGTGAGTAATATCGGAATGTGTTATAGTACTATTTGCACGATAGCCCTTGCATGGTTTTCATTAATAACACATGAGATGGAAGATTATATATATATATATATATATGCACGAGGAAAAATTTCGACCGACAGTATCGTATACTGTACATCATCGATTGATATATAACTTCGTCAACTTTACCCCATGATATGCTAAATTTTATTATAACCTAAACTTTGCCCCAAATCTAAACGTCTTGATACCATAGAACATTGCATGCCTATGCCTTGTCAACATATAACGGAGTATAGATAACCCGGCATAACTGTACGTATCCCTAATTAGGCATGGCGTACTACGCGAGGTACAGTTACTGGCTGATGCCGCATGCATTTGTTATCCCCAACAGCAGTACCAATTTAGGGACAGCAGCCTTTCCCTATTACCCGCACCATGGGATTTTTTTTCTGGTAATGTATAGTGCTCCATGACACAATCTTGGGTGAGACACTTCACAATGACATACAGCTTCTGCTATTGTATTGCACAGCGGAGAAAGCTCCATATTCCAGGCGGCCAGTGTGTGATATGACACATATAAGCTGGGATCTGTCCCTCAATTCTCTGCTTCGTTAAATAATAGCCCCGCTTGAAGCATGCCTTAAATCTTCCTCCATCTTCTGATTTGGAGCGTACTGTGTGCCATGGCTGGTGATCGTGCGCAAAATAACACCGCTGCCAGGGCGGAGGCGCGTCTTGGCATTGAGTTCTCTGCACGGGCCAGCATCGGCATGCCGATTTTTCCGGCATTATCCACGGGGGGACCGTTGGTGGACGGTCACGCTCTACGATCAAGACGGTTCGTTTGTTGTTTTCCTCTCCATGACCGGTGGCTTATCGCTGACTCCCGAGCAGCTTTGTTCTCGGACGCTCGGCGTGACACCGCTGCGGGACATTCAACCAGCGTGTGGTCGTTTTGCGGTGGTGAGGTCTACCGTCAGATCCAACTGGCAACCCAGCGACGTGATCGACGCCAATGAAAGCAGTGAAAGTGTCGGACCCTCACCAAGCAGAAACGGTATGATGTGCGACGGCTGCGACATTTCCCGCAGTACCGCGAGCTCCGGGATGCGCTCGACTCCCTCCTACCGTTCCGTGCCCTGTGGAAACGGTTACGGCCGGGCACGCTGCAACGCAAGTTTGCCCTTCGAAGTCCCGAAGTGAGTACTGCCCTGGTGCCGAGGCGCTTGGGGACGACCAACTGACGGAGGAACCCCAGAGGCTTGCTCACTATGTCCGCCGAGTGCACCATGTATGGTCCCAGATCCTTGGGAGCATCCACCCGGACGAGGCTGATCATAAGACCGTCCAGGCGCTTGAAGGCCGCTGCCCGGGACTTTCAATGATTGATCTGAATCATATCAAAGACGGCTTGGAGACTGGCCGGATCTTTCCTACGATCACCCAGCCGGATGACCGGGCGCGGCTGCTGGAGAGATTGTCCCGGATCGACACAAGGATCCCTTCCCTCCACACTTGGACCACAGATTCCTTGTGCTTGACCGCCGGTGCCTCTATCCTTCGGCGCCTGTTCCCGGTTCTCCAGAGCCACGCCACCCTTGAGCAGGAGGCCCAGCGTCACCATGCCTGGCCTGGCGGTGAGCAGCCATCTGGCCGTTCCCCGACCGCGGTGGACTTTGGGTCCGCCTATCGCCAGCTTTGGTTGTTTGCCCTCCGGAACGCACCCGGCCTGCTCTCACTACCCCAGAGCCCACCAGATGACAAGCAACAAGCCCTGTGGGTACAGGTGGCCCGGTTCGCATGGGTCGTTGGGTTTAACACGCCAGCAATCCGGAGCCTCCTGCAAGGTGATAGACCGACTGTAGGGTTCGCAGCGGATTCCGCTGGCGGGCCCCCAGCCATGCCCGCGATCACCACAGGTCTTGATGCCCGGGAGTCAGCGGGCAGACGCATGGTTAGATCAGCCGCACGATGCTTCCACGAGGCCCGGCCATATTTGTGGGCTGACTACATTTACTCGCCGTCGCCCACGACACCTGGATGGACTCTGACGCCATTTGCTATCGCGCGCGACGTGTTCCGGGCTTTTTTTGGTTCTGACCACCCCGGTTGCGAAAATGGTCAGATGCTATCGATGCTATCCCCGAGCATTTCAGGCCACGGTTACCTGTCAGCACTTCGTGACGTGAATATTGATCTGGTCCCCAATCTGGGCGCGGATCGCACATGTGCAGACACCCCCACGGGGCTGTTGACAGCCCCACTGGGATCCAGATCCCCGTCTCCGCGCTCGGTCAGTCATTATTCTCGATCGGTCAGTGGCGGAAGTAGTCATACTCCGCCTCCAAATCAGCCTGGAAACTTACCCGATCCACCTGATGAGCTGAATGCTCCTATCCCACCCTCGACCGTCTTGATTGACACGGTTCTTCGTGAGCTGGAGCATCCTTCTG